AGTGAGGACGGGCGTGGGTTGAAACAACGTTTGGACCGGACAAATTCGACAAATTTCTGGATCCACTTCTGAATTAAAAGTTTTTTTCGCACTAAACGTGTTTTCCAGAGAATTGACTTAAGTTGATTCTAAGTTTTGACAAAGCGACCTTGGCAGGGCGACCTTGAAATTCCACACGAAATTTATGGATCTTGAATTATCCTCTCGGATACACGAAAATTTGACAGGGAATCTCCACCAAAAATCAATATAATGGAAATTCTGAAGATTGCATGAAAGTTGTTTCTGCCCTAAAATATGATTATTTAAGTAACTTTACACCCATACAGACATGAGAAACCTCCAAAAGCCGCAATCACTGTCTCTAAATAAATTCCACCTCCTCAGAAAAAAAATGGTCTACGTGACCACAATCATAATTGAGTTTTTCCTCATGTTAGAGCTGAAAGTTCTCAGGAATCTTTAATAGATTGGCGCCTCTTTTGATTTAATACTTGTCACGAAAGTTCGCGAAAGCATCTTCTGTAAGGGAACATTTTTTGGATAAAGAAAACAGTGTTTTTGAAGAATATGACAGTCCTCTTCATGTTGTATTTATGCTAATACAGTAACTTTATCGATCTCAAAGCAATATGCAACAGGAGCTCGCTAGTAAATCGTTTCCTTCGCATATTATTTTTAATAACGTTTTTCAAGTTTTTGAAGATCACTTTTTTTTTTTTTAAGATAAGCTGTATATCATGTGCGAAAATCTTTGAATAGTCATATTCTATTTCTACTCAACTAAGGTTGTGTCGAATTATAACATGGCGCGCGCTTATCATATATAAATTCCGGCTGTGCATCTATTCATATGATGTGTGCCCTCGCTGCAAATTCCTTACTAGTTATGCCGCAAGTTCCTCTTTTATAACTTTCCAAGATTCTATCAAAGAAAGTAGTACACCTGATCCACCAAAATAACAATATTTTGAAGGATCAAAACCGTTGTTCAGGTTCAGATCTCTTTGAAAACCTAGGGTTTTTTTTTTAACTTTTTGTGTCTTCCTTTTACTTTATCAGGCGAATTTTTATTGACAACTTGTCAAGAAAAGGGAATTTTCGTTCAAATTTTGATATGAATCAAATAAGCGGTCCACACTCAAACGAAGTCATTGAGTCGACTATGTTTTTAAAGAACTGATGCATTCACCTAGCTTCGGTTATGTCGAGGTAAGGATAAAGTAAGGAAGTCTGGAAAGCACTCAAGAAGCTAGGATTGCTCTCGGCTGAGCCTCGAGCGACTCTTCGCCTCTCTCGTTCTCTCCGACCTTTCTGGCCGCGTGTGTCCATACCTCGATATAACAAGTACGCTAAGCTTGAACTAGTTCTCATTTACACCATTATAATCTTTCCTGCGTAAGCCCAAAGGCCTATTTCAGCTTGATTTTCTTTTCGTACTGAAAGCACTCTGGAGTTTTGAATCCTTGCGGTAACGCTAAAATGTAACGATTTGTGTTTGTATACAAAACGAGAGTACACTAAAGGCTATATGCGCTGAAATATTAAACCTACAGCTTGCGCTGAGAACAAAAAGCTTTGGAACAGCTGGGCCCTCAACACTTTAGTAATTTGCATACTAAAAGTAATATGGTATTTTTCGCAATGGTCCATCAAAAGTTAATTTACGTTCTTAACGTGACGTAAAGTTTCCTGGGTATCATTTTTAATTGCTGTTGATCAAGAATATTGCTCTTGATGTAATTTACATGAATCAGTTGATCTTTATTTATGTATTTTCTTTTTTCAAATAAGTTTTCACGATCAAAAGATGGAATAAGGCAAAAGCTTTTAGGATTTCTATGTATCATCAATTTTGTTTTAATCTCATAATAAAGTATCCTGACATATCCTGAAATATGTGACGAGGCCTTTGGCTAAATGACTATTCCATTCGGTGTTTGTTTCAGTCTGTCTCCATTTTTAACAAAGCATATTTATAATAAAACGATCTAATCCCGGATATTTGCGTGGAATGACATTTCTCTGTAGAAAAATAACGACTAAATACAATGGCCCGTCAGGTGATGTTATAAAGGATGTGACTTCCCATTGTGGCTGTAATGGTTTTGTAGAAATGAATAAAATAAATGTTCTGGTCATTCTTCGCAAATAACTAGTTGTCGAAAGGTTATTTTGAAACTTTCCATGAATGTTTCCAGTCAGTCACTGCTTCGAAAAAGTCACGGAAAAAGATAAGTACCCACAAAACAGATATGATGGGCCAATCTTACTTAATTCATGCCTGGAAGCGAGGGTTTTTAAAGTAACACTTGAATAAAATACTCGCTTCGGAAAAAGTCACGAGCATATGGGAATATGTAACATAAGAAAAAATTGCACCGCACTTTTGAAGCATGGTTTGAGTTTTATTCTTGTTTTCAACAGATCAATTTAAATTTGAATTCAACTTCATTTAAGGGGAGAATTTGTACATTGAAATAGCACAATGAAAGAACTAGTTCTTCTTGCTCGAGAGAAAAGCCATCATGCCTGTTAATTTCGTTCATGAATTGAGAGACAACTATAACTCCGCCATGTGACTAGGAAGTGCGGGCGCTCATTCGAAAAGAGTCCTGGTTGGATGTCATGCGCAGTAAAGGAAGCACAGTGCCATCCTGAGGAATAGCCATGAGCCTTCATCGCATTACTCCGCTTAACTATCATTATAAATTATTTTTTCAGGCGATGACGCGTGACGACAGCTAGAAAGTCAGACTGAGATTGAGCATCATTAATCACGGGCCTCAGACAGTACTCTGTTATCATAATGTTGACTCATGATTTGAAACGATCCCGAAAATGACTAATTACATGTATTTTAACATTTTCAAGACAATTAGTGAAGCACTCAGGTAGGATTCAGAGAAATCTGCTGTTGCAAGAGTTGCAAGTTAAGACTGAAGGTTTACGGTTTGCAATTTTGGAAAGAACCTTGTCAACAACCTCTTACTTCTCTAGCTAGACATAATCATTTGCCTTATGTTCAAAATGTCTTTCTCCCGCTGTTTGTTTTTCCCGGCAGTTTCATGATCACGCCGTGATTATAAATCTGTTCTGCCTTCAGAGGGTTCCATTCCAGAGCGTTAATTTCAGTTTCATCGAGCGTTGTGTGCCATTTTGATTGTTTGATGTTTATTTTCTATTATTTAACGTTGCTCACGCAGGAAATAGATGCTAAAAACCTTTAAACCTTGCAATATTAGAACCGTCCAAGTGGAGAAAGGATTGAAAATTTAGTTACTAGGTGATCGTCCTGCCAAAGCATCCATAAAATCATCTGGAAATGTTTCTGCTGAGGTTGAAAAAGGAGTTTGCGTCATATCTACTAGAAGATAAGTCCCATCTCTTACTCCAGAAAGGTTCCCTCGCTCTTCCATACCTAGATAAGCAAATTTGTCGCCAATGAATATGTTTAAGCCATATACTTCGAATGAAATATCTTCGACGTTTGAGTATTAAACACATTTTTACGAAAAGATCAACATACGTAAATGACCAGACTGATGAAATTCTTATCCAAGGATCACTTATAATCCATTTTTCAGCCCGCCCGGGGATCCTCAACCTTTTTAGAGAATATCTATTGTGCCGAATACATGTAATCTGACCGTAAATTGCTGTTCGTTTCTGCTCACTTTCCGGTGAAAACACTGACGTGTTTAACTGAATAAGTTCTTTCAAACATGTATTTATGACTTTTCAGTTTTGTCTTTCTATTTTCAAAGACCTCACGTTGAATGGAAATCACGTAAACCATATAACAAGCGACGAAATGCTTTGAGGGCACTGCTTACTTTTTTACTGATATTGTCAATACCTGATTGTAAATGTTTGAAGCGATTTTCATGCATATGTATTGGTCAAGAGAATATGAACAGTTCATTTTCTCTTGCCCTTGGTCGAATCCCAAGTTTCACTGGATCGCGACGGTTCTGATCCAATACAACTGTCTTCTCTGGCTATTTTATGTTTTTGAAATATGAGCATGGATTTGCATACTTTACTCTACTAAAGGTGTAGCATTCATCAGTCTCAAAGCTTGAAGGCGTATCATCTCATTCCAGTTGTTTAAACTGTAAATGAAACATTATTTTGATGTACCAACGCGCGTTTCCGCCTGCATTTCGGATATACGGGCAGGTACAATTTCATAATACTGAGGCCTCCGGGTGGTAAGATAGAACGAATCACCATTGAGGTAGCTGAAAGAAAATCCCTGCTGGAGTCAAATATGGAAGTGTTAAACGACTTTAAAAACGTTGAAATGTCTCGTGCGATCTGAATGTTTATTTTTGGAACAGAAAGGGCTTAAAGCTAGATATATCGGATCAATCTCTTTAATGCATTCATAAATAAATATTTACACCCGTTTTCCTGTCGGCACCATAAAAGAGCGATTACTTACTCTGGGTTTTCTTCCTGTCGCCAAACTTCTTATGAAAAAAACACCTACAGAGTGTGGAGCTTAATTATCAGTCCCAAATGAAAGTAGAATTTTGTTCTTTTCAATCGAAGTCTCGTGCTGCTTTGAGAGCAGAACCTTTAAAATTCTTTACATTGTAATCTTGGGAAAATATTGAGAAAAGAAATACTTCAATTAATGAAAATTTAACGTGGAACAAACACATCGGACATTCACTTTAAATAATTGCTTTCAGCGTATTCTATGCTCTTCGTTAAACTGCTACAGACGCAGAGCTTCATTTGTGAGCATCGCGTCCTTATTTGGTTTCAAAAGTGACGCATTTATCAGATTTTAATTAATACATATTTGCATATAGATGAAAAAAAAGCTTGATAGGCTTTCTCTTGAACATTCTGAGCTGCCGCAAATTATTCGTTTTAACATCATTGAGAGGAACGCTAAGGTAAATTAGTAGCTAGCCTGACAACACCATCCATCCACAATAAACAAAGGACAAACTGAAAAGTCAGAACCTGTGGAAAAGATTGCCAGCAGAGTAAAGATAACTCGTGGTTTGCAGCTGTTATGGACAACATGAAGAGTCGCTATCTCAGAACAGACTTAGAAAGCTTTCTTCTCTGTTCTTTAATACTAATGATGAGTCGAGGTACGTTAAACGGGTCCTTCTATTATCCCGAAGCAGACGACGCATCTAATTCTTTCCCATTTGATTGAACGAACAGGAAAAAGTTTTGGTCCCTAAACGTTTTTTTTTTTTTTTTTGCCATCTGCCATCCAGTAACGCAGTAGGTTCAGGAAAATGAGTGTACTTTTTTTCTTTTTCAAATCAAGATTCACTTTAAAAGATTCGACGTGCCTTACATGTTATCGCAACTGTTATGTTCAAACACATAAAGCTTTGCTAGGTTATCTTAATGAAACGAGTAAGAAGAGGACGATTCAAATCCAGCAGGGTCGTAGAGGAAGTAGTTATTATGGTATTATGTTATGCTCTGTCATGCTCCAACAATGCACTCTCTTTCTTCTTAATTAATTAAGATCAGAGATAGGCAGATCGCAAACTACCATCCAACAATGATAATTACCCTGACGTTTCAATCATTCACAATTTTCATCGATCCTCCCCTATTGTGCCTTTTGTAATGTTTCTAATCAGGTGTTGAACCTGTATTTCAACATACAAACCAATCTGAATTAATCAGACATCACGGCATTTAACTGATTTTTTTAAATTTATTCCATCAATTTTAGGTAAATGGATCACTTACCAATGTATGAGCGCTTTGCACAATACGGAAGTAAAAGACAAAAAAACCTGGGATGATGATCTTTACTGTCGGAAACCAGAAACTTGCATCCGAATATAATCTTTTGAGGGAATTCTAGGGGGGGGAGAGGAGAGGGGGAGAGTGCACACATTCAGGTTGCTGTAACGAGAAAGACGAAAACATACCAAATTAAAACTCGGTTAATTTTATTTTCCACCTTATTTTCACAATACCCTATCGCAGGAAATCTGTGAGCATCACTCTGTTTGTCAGGGTGACTTGCTTCCCAGCAGTTTATGGAGGTCACTAGATACCTTGAGTAATATGCTCTTGCAAGAAGCATATGCTAGATGTTTAGATGGACAATTTTGAAATATCGAGAATTCTATTTCTTCTCCCATAACAGATATCTCAGCTAAAGCAAACTCAAATTGTGAAATCAAGTCTTCTTGCACAGCCGACTGCCAGTTTACTCATCAAACTACAGTGGATCCGGGCTCTCACATAACTTTAAACTGCACGATCTCCTCTGAAGCGGCAGAAAACGTAACCTGGGAACAAGCAAAGAAGCTAGTTGGGGAAGGAGATGGCAGATCAGATCTAGCTGTACAGGAAAGTTCGCAAAATACTTCGTGCCGGTGTACCAAGATATTCTTCGCACGTAGGTATCAGTTGGGTAATTGTTGAAGAGAAGTAGCTGGGACTTTTCAAAGGAGAGGGCAAGGGGGGGTGGGGGTCAAGTTACGTTGTCAAAATAAACATCAATACTGATTCAAATTTGACGACATTTTCCCTGATGAATGGTTAACGTTAAAAAACGAGACTTGTAACTAAACACCTCATTTGCCCACCGATGTAGCACATCAGTTTCCCTAGAGACCAATAACCTCAGACATAAGAAGGTACGTTACTCTCTTCTTTTCTTTAGGCGAACTTGTGGTAGATGGACATACGGAATCCCCGTATCTAATCCAGCAAGGAGAACGACCTTATTTGGAGTGCACTTTCTCTGGATGGCCACTACCGCCTGAAGTCAATTGGTTCAGGGAAGAGAAGCTGATCCCTAACGGGTCAAAAGCAGTTTATCAGTTGGATAGGATCTCAGGAGAGAAAGAAAATAGAACTCTTCATAGCAGTCTCAATTTTCAAGATGCACGCGAGGATCAGGCAGGATTCTATAAGTGCAAAGCTACAAACAGCATTCCAGGCTGGTCAAGTAGCACATCCTCAGAGATACAGACGATATACCAGTGTAAGTTAAAATTCAAACTGTTTTGAAATTTCGTATAGGATTTCTCAGTTTAAAAGCCTCTCTGGTTTGCTCAACTCGCTGCGCTCAACTTTAGGTGCTCAGAGTAAGTTCAACTTAAGTCAACTTTATCCTATTTTGTTGCGGTAAATTCACCTTCCACTGTTATGACATAATTTTATAGAAAGAACATTATACCCCAACAATCCCAATTACTTCTCACTAAGGAGCGACACCTAGAAGCAATACAATAATTATCCTTGACTAACTCACTCATAAGCCCACTACAAACTAACAGTTGTCTTTCAAATCTTTTTTGAAATGAACGAACTTACACAGTGGCTCCTTCTCGGTATAGCTTTCCGAGCAATCGGTCACCCCCGACAACAAACACTACCACTACTTTACGACTGAATCTTTACATGCATTTACAAAGTATTCTACGACAATGCGGAAGCTTACAACACAACTATTTAGGTAGTATCACATCATAACAAGATAACCTAATAGAATGTTTTAGAACGCTCCGTGGTGTAACATTAGAAAGTTTGTCTGCGCATGTCAAGGCATTCTAGAATTTTTTTAAGAAATTTTTCTCACAGTAATTATCCGTAACACTACATACTAGCAAGGGTGGGCCTTTGATACAAATGGTCTCCTAGTGGATACCGATTTTTAGAGCTTCTTTTTCAGTAGTCCTGACGCTTCTGCCTTCAGTAATCCACATCAAAACATCCAACTCAGAAATAATGACTTTTTTTTCCTCATAGGTCCACACGCACAAGACCCAATTGTTGAAAAGTTGGAAGTTCTCGTGAGCAAATCTTCTAACATAAACTTGACCTGCTTGGTTTATGAATCTGAGGAAGGTTGTCCAGATTACTTACGGTGGTACTTGAACGGCAACAAGTGGCTTCGGGAAAAAAGTGGAAAGTACAAAATACTAAAGAAGAACACTCACTCCAAATGCAAGGAAGAATTTGTATTGACCATTTTTAACGTTACGAAAAATGATGAAGGAAATTACAGCTGTGACTGGAACTGCGAATATTTTCCAACAAAGAGAGCTACCATGGAGCTGAAAGTATCTGTTGAGCCTGTCACTGGTAAGAGTTTATACACCAGTCTCGTAAAATCCTTTCTTAGATCAGCATTAGCCATACTGTATCTTTTTAGACTTATATCTGTGGGTTCCGTAACGTTATCTCGTTGCCATTTATCTCGTTGCCATTTACACCCTAGCATCAGTATCCATATTCTCTATACATTTCCATGTTATCTCGTTGCCATTTACACTCTAGCATCAGTATCCATATTCTCTATACATTTCCTAAGATCGTCCTTATCCGAGAAGACTAAAATATCTAACCATTTCTTGTTATAGAAGGGTAGCAAATTCTCCTCAATTACTTTTAAGACCATGAGTATTGGTCCGGCCAGGGCTCGAACCCTCGACCTCCCGCACAACGCAATCCGGCGCTCTAACCAATTGAGCTATATTCTGTATATTCTATATTCCTATATTAAAGTTCTTTTCATATGGATATTCTTTCGATCTAAATGCTTTCGCGTAAAATGTTTTTCTAAATTTTCTCCTTTTTGCAGCTTGAATATGAAGCCCACCTATATCTTCGTAATTTTTTTGCTGAAAGTGTTCTTGGTGTTACCATCAAAATTTACTAGTAACGAGTTATTTGATCACTTCTTCGACGCTCGGTAAATATCCACCACCAGCCACCTCTACTTCGATGAGTAAATGTTAATCATCATTTGTTAAATACATAAAAATAGTAATAGGCAAGCTTTAAAGTACGTATTCTACGAAAGGGGCATTATTTCATGTAATATTTTCTGACCAAAGCATTTCATTCTTTTCAGCTCCTCAATCGCCTATAGCGTGTCCGTTTCGCGCATAAAAGGGTGGTTTCGATGTTTTTGTTTTTTTTTTGCTAAGCGTTCTCTACCTTTTATTTCATTATCCAGACCCACCAACAGTGACTCACGTTTTGACTGGCCCCTCATATCCACCTTCAGGTCAGTAAATCATAGATATCGTTTGATACACTCATGAATAACGGAAAATAAAAATAAATGATAACCTATGTAACGGAATAAAATTGTAAGAAATAATTGGCTAAGAATATCAGAACATTTTTAATTTCAAAACTAGGAATAAAAAACAAACAAGTATCAGAAAATTTCTGTAAATCAATGGTCGTAAGCCTAAGCTATTGCGACGAACGCAGGCTAAAGAACAGTGTCACTAGCATCAATCTTTTTAGCTATTTCTAGAAAAAATAATTACAAAACTTCATTAAGACTTCAGGGTTGATTATCACCTTATAAACACCTATGCTATTGCTCAATACTACTCTGATATTATAGTTTCAACAGATTATAAGAAGTTTTTTTAATGTTGTGGTTTGAGCGGACTATAACCTGTCAGGTGTATAAAGGTGTACAACAAGGAACCATGGCTCTTTAATCAAGCCGTTTTTTGTTTTATCAATCTACAGTACAGCGAAAAAAGTGGCTATTGCCAATCATTATTCTGGCAGCTGTGAGTGGCGTTGTTATTTTCATTGCAGCCTTGCGGTTTGGTGTGAAAAAGAAGTGGACATCATCTCACGAACTTGAAAAGTGTAAGTTAGAGATTTTTAAACAAAAGATCTTCCTTAAATGAGAAGTCAGGTATCTTAAGAATCAATTCTAAACCCATCTTCTTCCTCTTTTGATTCATTCGTGGTAAGATTTTCCTTAGCATGAGGCATTGACTCTAAATAGCCGCTTAAGATTGCCATTGCTAAGTTTATTGTTACTAGACCAACTTTAAAAAAATTCCCGGAGTCTGTTGTTGCGTAACCAGTTAGAGGTTGGAGGGTTGTTTGTCAGTGCAAGCGTAGATTGCGCCACATTTCAAGAAACTCCTAAAGCTGTGTCTGAAAACTGAAGCCTAAAAACGGCAGTTATAATCATTAAAATCGTATGAAATTTGCCTCGGTATTGACTCCCTGTGAATACAGTTAAAATCCCGGCTTCATATCATTCTCTCTCAAACAAGAATATGGCCCCTGAACCAAAGCACTCCCTTCCCTTACTTCCTTAAAAAAGCTCCGCCGATAATGTACATGGTTAGATTGATGCAAACATATGTATCTGAATACGTTCCTATTGCTTATAGGTGGGTTTAACGATGAGGTGTTGAAAAATCAACTTTTTGTCAGCTACAGCTCAAAAGACGTTGGCTGGGTCAATGAGTATCTCATTTCACTGCTTGAGAAACACTCAATAGCCTACAGTATTCACAGCCGGGACTTTGAACTTGGGAAGCCCATCGTTCAAAACATGGCGGACAATGTGTACGGTAGCCGTCAAGTGGTAATTGTTTTATCACAGAATTACCTCGCCAGTAACTTTTGCCGCGAGGAACTACACATGGCTTTTCAGCGGGGGTTGGACACGGGGGATTCTTCTGTGATTCTTGTAATGATCAATAACTTGAAGAAAAAGCAACTGCCTGCTGCCTTAAGAGAAAAGCGTTTGCTGGAGTTTGAGAAACACAACAAGAAACAAGAGTGGGAAGAGAAAATTCTAAGCCAGATTTTAGATTGGAAAACTGTCAGTGTTTAAAGATGTTAGTTTGTTTACAGACTTTGAATTCTAGAATCTTTCATTGGGCCGGCTAAATTAGTGTTTATTTATTTTTCCTTTTGATTTTTATTCTGATGCCGGATAAACGATGATAAAGCACGAGGGGTTCATGTAAAATCTCTCAATTCTGTGCTCAAACCATTAAACTATGGGTTGAAAACGTTGAGCCGCCAATGAATTATTCAACGAGAGAAATCGTACTCTTTGTGCCAAACTGTTTTGACTGGTTGGCGTCAGACCTCATTGACCTCATCCCAGTTTGCGTATTTTGACTTCGTCGCTATTTCACGTTTATCCACTGCCGTACAACGCAAAGTATTGACTGCCGTTGACCTCCGGTTAGCATTTGCCTACTACTTTTAACTACTTGCAGACTAGATATCCATGGTTTAAGTGATTAATATAAAACCCTTCTGTCTAAGATATAAGGTAATAAGATAAGTAGTGGCTGTTTATGACAAGATCCTTTTAATTGACAAATAAAACTACAAGGCGGAGCTTCCGAAGTGGGTGTACTCTTTTGTTTGATCTTTTGTTTCCTTTGGGCAAAGGACGCACTGGTTCAGGAGTAAATATCACACGGAGCCAGTGAGAAAGAAGAACCAACAAACTGCTTAGCCTTTTACAAAACCGTAACATCAGTATGCATATTCTCCACACTGTTCTCAAAACAATTCCAGGGGTGCTGGCAGGGAGAATTTGTTTAACAATCAAGAGCTTCTTGAGTTTAATATCATTCCCTCATTATCATTTAGTCCAGTTCATGTTGTAATCAAGGTGATGGTTCTTATCAGGAAAGTTGTAAATCATCTTGTTTAGCATGTCATAGCGCACTGTCAAGTACCCCTTGATTGCTGTGGTGACAGCGTGTGGGTAAAGCTTCTTGACTTCCTGTGCGATCACTCCACAGTCCTTACCGCTCAGCCCAAATTTTTGTTTGGCAACTTCATTCCATTCCCAGCAAACTGCATTAAGTCCAATTGCCCTATATGGCGAGCAGGGCAAAGTTGTAATGTTTTCCTTCAATTTATGGTCGCTTAACATACCGCCAAGAGCAAGCCCAAGTCCCACAGGTGCAATAAAATCCAAAAAGCCACTACTTTTTTTGCTTAGTTCTTCCTTGAGTAAAGCGATGGTCTTCATTTGTTCCTGGTGAAGTTGTTTTAAATTCTTTTCCTTGAGCTCAGCTTCTTCCTTTTCTCTTTTTACCCTCTCGATTTCCATAGTTTTCGCTGACATCTGATATTGAAAATTTTGTTTTTGCTCTTCACTTTTCTTTTCAACAGCTTTCCTCTGGCTCTCCGCTTCTTTCACCTTCAATTCTAGTTCGTCAGCTTTTCTCTTCTCACCAGCAAAGTGCTGTAGATCTTTATGCACAGCGGAAATTTCGGTTTGCAACTCACAGTCCATTGCAAAGTTCCTTAAAGCGTCCTCTATTCTTGTTTCTATTTCGTCTGCGGTTGGCAACGCAAATAGCGGCTCAATAAGTTTCACGCGGCTTCTCTTACAAATATTTTTCTCCAGCGCAGTATAAACGTTTCCAAAGTCCAGCCACGAGTCCGCATTCATCGTATCTTTAAGATACCAGGCCAATTCTACTAATCCTTGTCCATCCATAGGACTTCCTCCTAAGGTCTTTTTGATGGGAAACTTTTTAAGTTTTTCAACCAGTCGCCTCATTTCTTGCCAGTAGTCACTCTTTCGTAATTTATCGAAATCTTTGAAAAGATCACGTTCCACTTGCGGAATCTGACTTACTATAATTTGGTTCCTCGGGAAGTGCTTTGCGATGGCTTTTCTCTCTTCTTTCATGCTCTCCTGAAAGGATTCTTCCACGATGCAATCCTTTGTGTAATCTTCGATTGTTTTGCCCCCATCAGGATCACCCAGTGCACCTCGAATAACCACCTGAAGTTTGGGAAAGTTTTCGATAGTAATGTTAGGAAAAATCTGATCACTTAAGCGTGACATGTGGAACAAAAAGTGTAGATTGTTGTTTTGAAACACATCGCGGACAAAAACGTTCAGGCCAGAAGAAACCAGGGCTGTAAACATGCTCAAATGAGTTGTAACGGCGTCATCGCCCAAATTTGTGCCTTCAACGTCAAGTAACACAACGCTTCCTCCTT